AACAATCTGAAATTCTTGTAAGTTAATAACAATCCACTTTAACAAAAGAGCTATTTTTTTTTTCTTGAATATTATATGGATATAGTTCAGAATATCTATAATAATCTAAAGCTATTTGATGAAAATTATTATATAGCCCTATATGTTGTGTTTAAATATGTCAATCAAGTGTGCTTGTTGCTGTTTTATGACTAAAGATACATTTACAATAATTGTATTTACATTGTTTTGAAGCAAATACTGTAAAAAATTTCTATATATGTAAGGACTGTTGCTTATTTGAATTAGTTATAGAAATATTTTCAGTAGAATTTTCATTATTATATAATGTAGATAAATTATCATATATTTTAGTATCAAAACTTTTATTTTTTTTGATTTCATTCAAATTCTGTCAAATTATCTAGATTTTCAATATCTTGATCTTGTTCAAATTCAGTTAAATTATCTGAACTTTCAATATTTTGAGTAATTTAAAACTCATCGAAGTTATCAGGTTCTTGTTCATTACTGCTACTTGAACTATCAAGACTATCAGACAAAAATTCATCAATATTTGAATTTGCTTTTGAACGAGTTACAATAAGATCATGATTCATAGTTAAAGTATATTTTTAAAAGTATATAGATAATAAACAATAAATTTTTATTTTTAATATCTTATTTATATAGAAATTTACAAATTTTAATTTTGATAGTAACAAGTAATTTATTGATATCAAATTTACAATTTCACTAAATTAATTAATAGCTAAATTGTATAAATTAATTAATAATTTATTATCGCTCTTTAAATTACTTAACAAAAAAAACTTTATATCACTTATTAAATATATATAGATTTCTTTATAATAACAGGTTCTTAGCTAAAATACATAAATATTAGCTTGCTCATAGCTTTGCTACAAGAACTACTTTATATATAAGTAATACAGGACAAAACTTGTAAAAAATATTCGATAAATTTTTATTTAATATAATTTATTTCTAAATACTATTTGATTAAATCTATAAGACTAAAATGGTTAATTATACAAGGCTTTAAAGATTTCATTTGGTATTAGCTATAATATCTAAATTTATCTTGTACTAAACTCTTTATAATATTATGTTATTATTTACAGCTATCAAAATTCCTGTTTGCGGCATTTATCTTATGCTGATAAAATTAAAAATTCCATTATTACTATGTTGAATAGCATAATTTGAATATTACTCAAACTGCTATCCAAATTGTCATTCAACACTATTATATGACTTGCAGATATAGATATTCATATTAGAATTATGCTATTCAGTGTGATAAAATTTTAAAATTTACTAGTACTACTATCTTTTATATGAGTGCTACTAAGGGAAAACCTGTAATCGGGCTTTCAATTATATTTTGTATCGGACAAAATCTATTTAATTTCTTAGAGAATATGTCTGGTGCAAAATATAATTGAAAACCTGATTACAGGTTTTCTTTTAGCGGCACTTATATGTCAAATTTATTTTATATAAAAATATAGTAGACAAATATAGTTTGGAAAATAAATAATTTAACATTACAATACAATAGTAATTTTTTTTATTAAGTTTCAACAATAATTAATTATCTATAATAAGCTTAATGTAAATATAAAAAGTGAACAAATTAGCGAAATGATTACATCAAACATATTAAGTAGCAATTTTCATATAGATATATATCCGTGAGAATTTAGGAAGCCTGGTTGTTAAAGTTATTGGCCAGCAAGAATTTAAAGTTTAAAAACAACATGAAATATGCAAATTTGATTTCAAAATAAATTAGCCAAATTTAGTATGTGATATTTTGGCGTTGTAATCTTTGGATTATCGTTTAGCACTAGTGTATGATTTGTTTAAATCCAGATGATCCACATTATACATAAATCCTTATCAGTACGAATTTTGCATATCAATATTGAATAGTCTGATAATCTATAAATTTAACAATAATGATACAAAACTGTATGCGAATCGAGCAGATTACACTTAATATAGATTTTGAACAATATACTGTATTTGCATATAGGTGTGGAACACAAGTTTGAGGTAAACTAGTAGTTGATTTAGCAGAATGCAAATCATAATTCTTATCATTTGGCTAAATGAATTATTAGCTTGTTTCAAACTCATGCCGCAATTATAAATCAACTGATTACTCCATTGTTGTCATTAATAAATTTCTTTATTTATTAATATTAACAGCAGCCCGTTCTCATTATATATGTATTATAGTTTAATCTTGTTTAACAAACTATGGGGTTTGTAATTGACAATAACGAACTTTTTTTTTAGATTTAACTAAAAACAGCATTTTATAGTTGGTTTAAAATGCGTATTATCAAGATAATAAGTTTTATTTGATATTTACTATTAGGACCAACGATCCTTTCGGTCCATCCTAAAAGGGACCGGACTAGCCCAATCCCTGGATGGACCGAAGGATCGTTGGTCCGGACCAGATCGATTAACAGCCCTAAGTCTAGTCAATAAATTCTCATTCATATCGAACTTTTTTCTTATTAGTGCCTCCTCGTGTAATATATTTATTATGAAAGCTTATATTCAGAACCCTTTTTATGTTTTTTGTTAAGATCTATTGGTTGACAAGAACAATCTTCGCCATAAATTTTCATACAGACTAAACACACCAAACATACTGGACATGCATTTAAGCGAAAACTTAATTTTGGGTGTGTTGACATTGTAGTATTGTTCAGAATACAATCGCAAAAAAAATACATCGTTATCGTTATATTACTAATCACGCCCAAATCAAAAGTTTATCACTGCCGAA